ATGTTCAAAATTGAGCTAACAATCTTCCTCAGAAAACCTTCATATTTGAAAAACTCCTTACACATTTTATCAAAGCCAAATTGTCAGAAAATTCCTAATCATCTCTAACACTTGTACTTACTTGCCCCAAAATTGAGTTCATTACCGTGTCCTGTCAATTTTTCCTCCAAAACATCTCTCCTATTTCTTTCCTTCAATTTCCAGTTATCACCTTCATTCAGATCTAAGGATTTTATTATCCTTGACCTGGGCTGTTTCAATAGCCTTCAGACTCTTTTTTTTTTTTTTTTTTTTTTGTGAAAACTTTGGTCCATGTCAGTGACTAGCAAGTTAATTTCTTAAAATACAATTTTGAACACAACATTTTTTTACCCAAGAGTCAGGCCTCTTATCATTTACAGAATGTTGTTATAATTTAAAGAACATGAACCTTAGGTCAAAGAGAACTGATCTAAATTTCTGCCACTTAGCAACTATACGTCACTGATAAAACCATTATACTTTTGTAGGTTTCAATATCCACATCTACAAACCAAGAATAATTGTACCTTGTTGCTATGATGTCACACTAAATAAGGTTACACATGCTATGATCTGAAAATCATAGAGCTCTATATCAGCTATGTTGTAGGCACTCAGTAAACAGATTATTTTCCTTCCCCCCACCCCAGGGCTCAATAGCATGGTGTTAGGAGTCCTTTGGAACTTATGGATATAATAACAAACTTACTGCATAAATGAAAGACAAACAGATTCAGGAATTATACAGGTGATTTTTTTATTATAGGAAAGAACTTCTAGACCAAAAAGTAGCAGAAAAACAAAAGCAATAAATTGATGGCTGGAAGGACATGATTTGTTTTCTTTTTTATTAAAGACTCTATATCAAAAATATCCAAAATAAAGTGATGTATGTGTGTGTGTGTGTGAACGTGTGTGGGTGCATATAAAATATATGTAATGTATATAGCAAAAGCCTCTACTAATTAAGAAAACAGCCTGGCATGGTGGTACACACCTGTTATTTCAGTGACTGGTAATACTGAGGCAGAAGGATCAAAAGTTTGAGGCCAGCCTGAACAACTTAGTGAGACCTTGTCTGAAAATAAAAAAGATCTTGGGTTGTAACATAGTGGTAAAGGTTCAATCTCTAGTACCAAATAAAAGAAAATATAAAAACAATAGTAAATTGTATGAGTAACCAGAATTGATAAGATAATATATGATGAATAGATATAAAAAATTCAGTACTACCTGAAATAATAAAAAATTAAAGTATCATGTTAGTAAATTATTATTATTTAATTTCCTCTTCTATTCAGTTTCAATCTTTCTCACTATAATCTCCATTTATTCTTAACTCCCAAATCTACATGGAAAAGACAAATTTTTAGTTCAAGTGTCTCCTTTCTACTAATTGAAATAATTCATGATTTTCTCATAGATTCTCTTCCTAATAATGGCTACTTACTTCAATGACCACTTATGTTACTTAACATGAAGTCCATTGCAATTTCAGCATTCAGAAATGCCAGACTTCCAGAAAATGTTTGATTGTGGTGCCTGGGGTTAAAAATAAACACCCTGGAATCACAGGAGCAGAAATGGGCAGATCAGTTGTTAGATCAGTTGTTTTCAATTAGGGTAAATTTTGTCCCTAAGAGGACATTTTGCAATGTCAGCACTATCCTAGTATTTTGCAGCTTGGGAAAGGGTATTTCCTTCTGGAAAATAGAGGATAGAGACTAAGGATGTTAGCAAACACTTGCAATGCATAGGAAAGCACCGTGTGCATTGACAAAGATCTATCTTGCCCAAAATAGCAAGAGCACCACAATAGAGTAAATCTGATTTAGATGATGCGTTAAGCAATATCATACACAAAGAAAAGAAAGAAAACATTTTTTTTAATTTTTTAAATTATTTGTGATTTTTCCTTAGGGAATGGGCCTCTATACCAATGGATATTATCAAACTTTGAAAAAGATTATTCACTGAATAGCTCAATAGTGAATTAGAAATTTTCCTCTGGAGTCCATCATCCACAATTTCTTTTGTAAATGTTGCTCTCTTTATGAAAATGCTTGCATTCAGCTTGAGAAATAATTTATTTGGCTGATCAATTGCCTATGGCGCTAGTCTACACTTTTATTTCCAGACTGATATGGAGGCTATAAAGAGAAATTGGTTGCATATCTAAGGGATGAGTGAAGTAACAATCTGTCGTTAAATTGAATTGAATGGAGGAGTTCTTGACAAATATTAGTAGAAAATTTTATTATACCTGAAAATTGCTTCAATTATTTGATTATGAGAAAAGAATATAGTGTGAGACGGATGGAAGTGCATACATCCCTTTGTGTGCAATCTGCACAAAATATCAGTCACAGCATTAACCTAATATGTCCTGAATCCCATTTCCCTTGTGTGAGCAAGAACAAGTAATAATACCATGAAGTATATGTACCTATTGTGTAAAAAAAAAATTTCTGACACCAAAACAAAATCTTCCATTAAGCACATAAACTTTAAAGCAATACAATTATCTTCTTGTTAAACATTAAATATACAAAATTTCCTGTTTTCTTATTTCTAAAGGAATAGGCTGAGTATCAGTATACATGATCACAGGTAATAGGATCTGGGCCTGTGCATGGCATGAAAACCATGGTAAAAGAGGTGAAATCCTAAGTGAAGGAGCAATCTCCTTGTTTGTTTTTCATAACAGTAGCCAATGATGTTTTCCCTTCTTTAATAGCACTGGCTCATCACCTGGCAAATTGACGATCAAATAGAAAGACACCAGAACAACAAATTCCAAGTGACTTGTGATAAAATATGAGCCCATTAGGTTCTCTCAAGAAGAGGAAAATTGTTGGGGTTTTTTTTTTGTTGTTGTTGTTTGGTTTTTTGGCAGAGTTTTTTTGATACCAGGGATTGAACCAAGGGTACCTAACCACTGCACCACATCCCCCAGACCTTTTCAATAATTTGTTTAGAAATTAAACAAATTAAACTGTTCAGGGTCTTGCTAAGTTGTGGAGGCTGGCTATGAACTCATGATCCTCCTGCCTCAGCCTCGATACTGCTGGGAAGAGGGAAGTTTTGATAATGGGGTAGATTGGAGTCCCAGTAATAACATTGCAAATATTTGTTGCACTGTCATTTACCTTCATATCCAGGGGGAGGGAGGGACTTGGAAGACACTTGAATATGAAACCATCATCATGTGAAGAACAGTAGTCACTTGAATTGGTATTTAAATTAGTATATTTGGATATCAGGAATTAATAAAGTAAAATTTAACCCACATGAGTTTTAATCATTATTTGATATTATTTTGCATGTTGAAATCCTCATCCCCAGTACTTCAGAATTTGACTACATTTGGAAATAGGATCTTTAAAAAGGTAACGGTGTTAAAGAAAGGTCATTGGGGTGGGGGTAAAAGACAAAAGTCCTTATATAAAGAGGAAACTTGGACACATAAATGTGCAGAAGGAAGACAATGTGCACAAACACCGAAAAGGTGGTTATGTGTAAGCCAGGTAGACCTACCTCAGAGAAGCAACACGCTGACGTCTAGACCTAGGACCTCTCCACTCCAGACTTTGAGAAAATATAATTTTCTGTTATTTAGGCCACTCAGTCTGTTTTGTTCCTGTAGCCCTACTAAAATAATGCAATCTTCAAAAAATGTTTTTCTTGCAAATGGCAGATTCTTGAACAAATGTCACAATATTTTAATCTATATAGATGATTTACTCCCAATAATTTAAGAATCTTTCAATCAATTGTTACTTTTGGTTTCAGAGATGCAGTTTAAATTTTTAAACTAAGTTATGATTTAGATGCAATGTATTTTATTCTATCTGACCTGTTGTGGCAGATTTCTACCCAATGAAGAACGGTTCCATCATGTCCCAAATTCTTCCAAGACCTTGATAGTCCCAACCCTCATCTTCCCTAATTCTGAACTTAGTGTTCTCTCCATACAGCTTTGCCTTTTGCAGAATGTCATATAAATGCAATCGTGCAACTTGTTGTTATTAGAGACTGATATATTTCACTTAGCTTAATGCACTTGGGTCTTACCCAAATTTTTTGGAGTATTCTATTTTCTTTCATCTCTGGGTACTATTACACTTTGACTATGTGTCAATTTGTCTATTCTCTGGTGAAGGATATTTGGATTGCTTCTTGGCAATTACAAATAAAATGATTCAAAACATTTGCCTTTAAAGACTTTGAGTGAATATAGATTGGCTTTTCACTTGGGTAAATATCTGTGATCTAGATTACTGAGTCATATGGTAACGTTTTGGTAATTATAAAAAAAAATACCAAGTTGTTTCATTAAAGTGGCTGTGGTATTTTATATTCATGCCCACAATATATGAAAATGTTATACTTTATTCAGTATATATATATATATATATTTATTTATTATATATATTCAGTATATTTAGTATTGTCAATATTATTTTTTGAAAATCTTAATTAATTTATTTATTTTAATTGTAGTTGGACATAATGCCTTTATTTATTTTTATGTGGTGCTGAGGATCTAACTCAGGGCCTTGCACATGCTAGGTGAGCACTCTACCGCTGAGCCACAACCCAAAACCATAGTACTGTCAATATTCTTAACCTTAACTATTCTAATTCTTATACAGTGTATCTCATGTTTTGTGTTTCTTCTATTTGATCTTTTTGGGTTTTTGTTTTGTGAACCTTGGAATCGAACTAGGCAAGCCCTTTACCACTGAATTACACCTTCAACCCTTTCATGGTTTAAATTTGTATTTACCTAATGACTTATAATGTAAAGCATCTTCTCATATGCTTTTGTCTCATCCATATATCTTATTTACTAAATTGTGTATTCAAATCTTTTGTGCATTTTATTACTGAGTTATTTTAGTTTGAATATGTCCTGAGTGTTCTTTTTTTATGTTGGAAAAAAAAAGTATATTTAGAATTAGACAGCTGGACTCTGTTTAGATGATCCCAATTTTATTGGCAACGTCCAAAACATCATAATCAGGAGCCAGTCGGACATATATGCCTTTTTCTCTCCATCAGGCCTGATCAGGGTGTTAACCTTGGCCACATCAATGCCATAGAGCTTCTTTACAGCTTGTTTGATCTGGTGTTTGTTGGCTTTGCCATCCACAATAAACACAAGTGTGTTGTCTTCAATCTTCTTCATGGCTGACTCAGTGGTCAGAGGGAATTTGATGGTGGCATAGTGGTCAAGCTTGTTTCTCCTGAGGGCGCTCTTCTGAGGATATTTGGGCTGCCTCCAGAGTCTTGGGTCATCGGAAGGTAGGTGACGTGTGTATCTTCTTCTTTTTATGACTGTGGACATTCTTCAACACTGCCTTCTTTGCCTTCAAAGCTTTTGCTTTGGCTTCAGCTTAGGGAGGGGCAGGAGCTTCCTTCTTAGCCTTCAGCACCATCTTGGTGAGAAGGCCTGAATGTTCTTAATATTTTTGAATATAAATACTTTAGCAGATACAATTTGAAGTATTTTTTCTAGATAATGGCTTATATTTTTCTCCTCTTAAATGGTGCTTAAGAATAGAAATTCTTAACTTTGATGAAGATTCATCATCTTTTATTTTTATGTATCCTGCTTCTAATTGTTTTATCTTTGAAATATTTGCCTAACCCAGAGTCACAAATATTTTTACTGTTTTACTCTTGAAGTAGTGTAATATTAGGTTTAAATTTAAGCCTATCATCTGTACCATCTATTTTGATTTATTTTTCTTTTATGTGCAAGGTATTGATCATTTTTTGTACTTGGATATCTAATTTAACATTTATTCATGATAGAAGCCCTTGGGAAAATCTAAAAATAGAAAGAAACTCCCTAAGCTTGAAAAATAACATTTGCATAAATACATGCAGTCAACATCTTAGCTGAGGGTGAAAGACTGAAAACCTTCCCCTGAGAGCAGGAATAGAGCAGAATGTCTGCTTTTGCTACCTTTACTGCTCTCATCGATACAATAAAATAAGAAAAAATAAGTAAATAGTGAGTGGGAAGAAATGAAAACATCTCTGATTGCCTATATAGAAAATCTCAGCAAATCTAAAAACTGGTTTAGGATAAATAGTCATTGTGAGATTTAACAAAGACTTGGCACAACATGGATTTCCTTTGATTTGTGGGTTTTAGATCTGAACCCTGGATCAAGTCCAGAAACTTGGCAAGGGTTTGTGTAATGACCTTTTTACTAGAATGATTAACCCTCTGCCTTAGAGCTTTCATCCTTGATATATTTTTAACTATTTTGATTTCTTATTGAATGTATTGCATCTAAGTATACCATGCTGTATTATTTGTCTATAAAGTCTCTGTGGGTCAGGCCCCTTTATTCCACTGGTTAAATTGCATCCACTTTTCTTCTGACAAGTTTCCAACCAGATTTCTATAATTTTATTTTACTTTAAATAATATTCACACATTTATAAAATTTCTATTATTTTATTCTCTTAACATCTTCATTGCTGTCTGGGAGCCTAGTCCTACCATCAGCATTGACCTCAGAAGGACAGGCTCCTAATGATATCAGGGATCTCTTGCCTGCTCTTTCCTTAATGCTGAGACGAAGGAATCTTCTCCAAGTTCTTCCACACAACAAAGGTGACGCCTGTATTTTTCTGGCCTGCTATCATCTTCACTTCTATAAACTTTTTCATTCTTCAACTACCTTACTTTGTAGTTCTGGTAAGTACTCTTCATTTAAAGTGGGCCATTGACTTCACTTTTTCTAAGAGCTGTGTGAGATTGTCAAGGCCAATATCTTCCATTCACATCTCATCCTAGTTTGTTACAACTTGACATTTTAGCAGTTTCACCAGTAAAGTGTGCTGGGAGCTGTCCACATACCAGCTCCGATCAGTAATAGGGTTCTCGTAGCTTCAAAATGCCATTGTTGAGCCTGCTTTTTAAGAGTATTCCTGGTACAAGTTGCCTCACATTTGGTTCCTAGGAATCAAATTCTGACATGAATACTTGTGTGGAAGAGTTTTTTTTGTTTGTTTTGTTGTTTTTTAATAAACATTTGGAATTTTATTTTAAAAAATCACAACCATGAACATTATTACAATTAGAGGCCCTCTTGGTTCTCCACATTGACACTGAGCTTGCTCACAGGGGTTCCCATTGTTAAATCTTAGTCAAACATCCATTTTTAAAAGAAGGAAAAAAAATTCAGCACACTACAATTTAACTTGTTTTAATGTTTCTTTACAAATGGTGAAAAATACTAAAGTACAGACAAGGAAAAATCATAATGTTGTGCCCAACATTATAAATATGGAATTATAAATTTAAAACATTTTCTGGTTTAAAAAATAAATCTGGTAGTCAATGCAGCTCTGTGGGGTCTGTGTCTAGTAGGCAGATGTCTGCGTTCCTGAGGGTGCTCGCCTTTATCCATTTTTCCAGGTCCTCCACGTCCACCTCTTCTTCCTCCCATCTGCTCCATCAAAGGTCCAGGGGACCCCCTGGACCACCTCGTTTTCCTCTGCCAAAGCCACCTCTGTCCATGCCACGGCCACCACGGAAGCCACCCCGGTCTCCACCACGGTCACCTCTGAACATTTCCTCCAGGACTGCCGCGGTCCATGAGGCCACCTCTTCCACTGTCACCACCCGGGGGTGGGAAGGGTGGTGGGAGAAAGCCCTCAGGCTTCAGGCCTTACCTGAGTGCATTCTGTTCTCCAGGCGAAGTTCTGGTTTCCACAACCTGGATTGGGACATTGCCAGTCTGGACGTTTCCTCCTCCAGAGGGATTCCCTTGGGAACCCCGTGGCTCTCTTGGGGGAAAACCTCCTCTGTCTCCTCTAGGGCCTCCCATGTGACCCATGGGTCCCCCAGGACCTCCTGAGCCACCTGGACCTCCAAGGAGTGGTGGTGGCATCCCTCTGCCCTCACAGGTTGGCCTGCCACCCTGCATGCTGTTCATTGGAGGCTTCTTTCGAGCAAGAGTGACTTTTAGTTTGCTTCCTTGAAAATCTTTTCCTTCAAACCACTCCACAGCAGCCTTGGCAGTTGGCCGGTCTTCATAGGACACTGTGGCATTGCCTTTGGGCTTTCCTGTTTCCTTGTCCAGGTAGATGTGGATCATGGGTTGCCCAGTTCTCTTATTCATCTTAACAACCCCACACTGCTTAAAGAAATCTGCCAGATCATCAAGAGTCACATTGTCATTTAATCCTTGCACATAAACTGYACTGTTGTCAGAGTCTTCATCGGGATCTACTGGAGGGCCTAGATCAAGGTCTGGTCTTTCTTCCATGGGTCCACCAGGCTTAATGAAGCCACCTCGCTCTCCAGCGCTGCCCATTCCACCGCGTCCTCCTCCCCGCCCACCTCTGCTCATGCCTCCACGATCAAATCCCCCTCTTCTCCTGCTCCAGTATCAGGGCCACTCATGTCTGTCTCAGGGGATTCTCTCCTGGTCTGGAAAATCCTCCAGACTCCTGCCCATAAACACCCATGCAACTGGGGTGGTCCTGTCAGAATGAACTCTGCTGCCCATAGCTGCTGCTCTGTTGCCAATATTGACTTGGAGCCTGGCTGTAGGATCCAGTCTGGGGGGTGGGTAACTAGTGAGAGGCTGCTGCCCATAGCTGCTTTGTTGACCATAGCTATTCTGCTGTCCATAGCTGCTTGGTTGCCCATAGGTGTTCTGTTGAGAGTAACTGCTCTTATCATAACTAGTCGGGTAGAGGAATAGCTGGTAGGAGGATAGGATGGAGGCATGGTAACTGGCTGCATGGGGTACTCCTAGGAACCTGGGGACAACTGTAGTTACTCTGTCCGTATCCTAGGCTGGGCTGGTTATAACCCCCTGTGCTAGACTGAGGTTGACTAGTCTCAGCAGGCTTGTTACCATTCTGCGGTCTTGCAGGTGCAGTGGCTGCTGGCTGTTGCCCATAGCCAGGGTAAGCAGGCTGAGTCCCATATGCAGACTGTGATGCATAGGGGGCCTGGGTGGTGGTGACAGTAGCGGTGGTGGTGTCATAAGCACCAGTGCTGTACCCCTGGATGGGCTGGCTGTATGCTTGAGGGGCAGTTGGGGTAGTATAACCAGTGGGAGGCTGTCTATAAGAAGTTGCATATGTGTTCTGCCCATAGGTGGCAGTGGTCTGAGCCTGGGTATAGCTGACATCAGTAGGCTGTCCATAAGTTCCATAGCTTTGTTGCCCATATGCCTGGGTGGTCTGTGCATATCCTTGAGTTGGCTGGGCAGTGTAAGCACTGTAGCCCTGCTGGGCTGCAGCTTGGCTGTAGGTACTGTAATCCGTGGACACCATTTTCTCTCCTTCCTCCTGGTTCTCTCAATGTCTGTCCTGAAGAGTTGCTTTTTTTTTTTTCTAGAGAAGTTTTCTCATTAAAATATTATAAAAGAATGAGGGAAGCAGGATTGGGCAGAAGGAGCTAAACCATGATGAAGTTGCCTCAGAGGAATCGGTTGATCCCATGAAGAGTTCTGAAGCTGCAGTGACCCTTCAGAGTTGTCCTGAATTGAGGACAGGGTGTCATGCCTTTGCATTCCAGCCTAATTAATGTATATTTGATAATTAAGGTATCAAATATACACTATCTCCAGGGAAGAAGCATCCAATTGGGTAAGGAACTTGCATTAACAGAGTAGTTCCCGAAGAAGATCTCAAATGGGGGCCATGAAACAGAACATTCTTGACCACTAGGGAGATCAATAATTTTGATCTAAATGATGATGTAGACAGCTCATCACAGTATCATACCATCTGTTATATAGTTTAAATTTAAAATAATGTAATCAGTTATCTCAGAATCCCTAAAGCCTACAAAGAAATGCAATACAGTTATTTCTCTTAATATACTTGATGCAAATGTGACAAATCACTATTTACTTACTAATTACTATGCCAGATGCTACAGTTTTTGCTTTGAGAATTAGATTTATTATAATGATTAATTTCACAAAAGTGACAGTAATTAAGAAAAAGTTACTTTATTAAAAGAAAAAAGAAGTTAAAAATTACTTCTGAAGACAAAAGTTATGTACTATTTAAAATGTTAAAGATTTGTATTAAGTAATATAAATATTACACATTTTATTAACATTTGTATAAGTGTTAACTATATAATGCAAATGTAATAATATGTACTAATCCTACTATAGATATCTCAGGTACTATGTTATGCTAAATATTTGCACCAAAATATTGGCTCTTAACTAGGGGAAGTTTTGCTCTTTCAATCTCAGCATCATTTGAAGTTATTAAAGAGGGAGAGGTGAGATGGTTACTGAAATCTGGAGGGTAGAGGTCAGATGTTGAAGCCAAACATCCACAATACACAGGACAGCCACTCACACTAAAGAACTGTAACAGTAGTTCTGAGGTTAAGAAATCCTGAACAAACTGGTTGAGGTGGAGCATGCCTGTAATCCAG